CGTCTTTGACGAGGCCACCATAGCCACGGTACTCAAGGAGGTTCTCAAGGGACTGGAGTACTTCCACTCCAACGGGCAAATTCACCGAGATATCAAGGCGGGCAACATCCTGATAGGCGATGATGGGACCATCCAAATCGCTGACTTTGGCGTGAGCGCTTGGTTGGCCACTGGCCGGGATTTGTCCAGGCAGAAGGTGCGCCATACCTTTGTGGGCACACCCTGTTGGATGGCCCCCGAGGTGATGGAGCAGGATCATGGCTACGATTTCAAGGCGGACATTTGGTCCTTTGGCATCACAGCGATAGAAATGGCCACGGGCACGGCACCATATCACAAATACCCGCCCATGAAGGTGCTTATGTTGACCCTGCAGAATGATCCACCCACCCTGGACACGGGTGCCGATGATAAGGATCAGTACAAGGCCTATGGCAAGACATTCCGCAAGATGATCGTCGAGTGCTTGCAAAAGGAACCATCGAAAAGGCCCACTGCTAGTGAGTTGCTGAAGCACGCCTTCTTCAAGAAGGCCAAGGATCGCAAATATCTCACGCAGACGTTACTGCAATCCGGACCCAGCATGGAGACCAGGGTTCACAAGGCGGCGAAACGACAACCAGGTGCATCGGGTCGTTTGCATCGCACGGTGACGGGTGAATGGGTGTGGTCCAGCGAAGAGGAGGACAATGGCGGCTCTGTCTCGGGCTCGGGATCTGGGGGTGGCCGAAAACACCCCTCTTCGGACTCGGACTCCGAGGATAGACCCATAAACCGGTTGGAAAGGGCCGACTCCTCGGACAGCGACCGGGAAGAACCGTCGCCCGAAATAACCCATAGTGTTTCCTCAGCCACAGTGACGCCTGGAGCTCCCGTAGCAGCTGCTGCCGCTGCCCAAGAGCTAACAGCTGGCCTGGCTCAGTTACCATTACCCAGCGAATCCGCAGGTGAGGCGCCACCAGTCAATCTTGTCCTGCGCATGCGCAATTTGCGTCGGGAACTCCACGACATTCGGTTCGAGTTCGTGGTGGGCAAGGATACGGCCGAAGGCATCGCCACAGAACTTGTGGATGCGGGTCTCGTTGATGCCCTGGACACTCACCCGATGGCCCAGCATCTGGACCAACTGATAGCGGCCAGTGCCACGATGAAAACGATTACTTTCCAATTGAGCTCCGGCGTGCAGCCGGGCGAGGTGCCCGACGAACGATCGCTTGTTGGCTACGCGCAGATCTCCATCACGGACTAGTGATCTGCCCTGGAGCATGGATCACAGTCAACCCTAACCCATCACAAGAGCATCCCAAACACCACTACAGCACCACCATCCCTGATTAAAACCAAGCCAGTCTGATGATACGTAAGGCCAGGAAGGTTCGGGATCTGGATTCGGGATTCCCCAACTGGAGAGCCGTTGCCGTTTGCTGCTTTTAGCACTAGACTAGAACTAACTGTATATGCTAGTGATAGATCTTAACGCGAGCTGATCGTTTACTATATAGAGAAACTATACAAACATATATATGTTTAAAAGGATGGGTCGATTTTGGTTGATATCGATTACGTGGGGAGAATTAGATTTTCGAAGCTATTGGTATAATATTATTTCAAAAACTATGGGTTGAATGTCAGTCAGGAAATATAGGTGCTCGATACACTTACCAATCAGTTGAAATATTTCCATATTTATTTATCCAACCAGAAAATCGGCCCATCCTGAAGTTTTATATATGCCTTACCTACTATAAAAATCCTTTGCGCATTGTAATTAATCCATGTGCCCCGCCCCTGGACCCGCAATCGCCCACTTGTTTTGGCCCCGCTAAAGTAGCTAAAGTAATTGAAGAATCGTGTACTTATTCGTTTTCGTTTCGTTCGTCTTTAAGTAGCTCTGTACATACACCACACATATATATCTATATATAGCTCTTGTTTTTAATTAGCCCACTGAAATCAGTAGATCCTGATGTAGTCCTGCCTTTATATATCATTTACCGATTACCGATCGCTCCCCCGCCAGGCGCCTCTAATTTATTCTCTAGCAATCTAAACTACTAATTTGTAAAGCCTAGCGCCTAAGTCTTGTTTTTGTTTTACTCTTATTATTTTATATTTTACTTTATTATAATTTATCACTATACTCTGTATACCCACTGTATGAGTTTTTGATAAGATCGCAAAAGGATTTAATCTTTAAGTGAGGCCAGAGGAAGATACCGAGAGAGAACAGGAGAGTAGAAATTATAATTCAAGCTCTGTAACTACCTTGAAGTAAATCGTAAATCAATTACTTTAAAAATGAATATTATTAAACATCATATAGTTAAAGAAAGAAAATCACAAAAAAACAAGAAACGAAAAAAGAATTACATTTTGTGTTTTTATTGGCCTTTATTTATGTTGAAAGTGGAAATTCAAGTTTAGATTTTAAAATTGGAGTTGGGGAAAAATTAAGGAACGTGAAACGTTAGTTGACAGCCCTATATAAAAAACACATTCTGATTATAATTTCTTAATTTTGATCCCTTGAATTTTTTAGAATTATTGAGAGAGCAAAAAAAACTTATTTATTAACACCGGTCGCTAGTTCACTACTCTAATAATTCAATTTTTTAAGAATTAAGCTATTTTGAAACTTTTCATCTTTATGAAGCTCAAAAGAAACCGATAAAAAAAAACCTTACAGCTTGAAACGAAACAGCATTCTTGAGATGTACATTTTAGCTCTTCCTCATTAATACAGTAAACCATCGACCTGATGGTCTCCTACCTATGCTCACGTATAAAAGAAGCCAGTGTTTGCCTGTAATTTTAGACTTTTTAAAATGCATTGCTGGACTGCCAGCCACTAAAGAAATAATTCTAGGCATAAAAAAAAACATATTACTTGCAAGCGTTTTAAATGCAAAGACCTCTTAGACATTTAGCAATAATGTTGGTGTAATAAAGTTAATCTAATGGAGTTTTAGCCCGGATTGACTGTTATCAAATGTATACGAGAAACTCGAAATTGAAATAAAAATAACATTTGGCTCCTAAAAATCCATGTGTTGTCTTAAGATCTATTGGAATTTTGTGGATACATTTTTTAAAAATGATGGATGGATTTAAATACTTTTTTTTGCAATTCCAAATTTAAATTAATTAATTTAAATTGTTTTAAAAAAATGTTTAATACCAAAATAAAAAGTTTTTTAGATATTCCTAAACTTAATTGCCAAATTAAAAACAGTATATAAAAATATATTTTAAAGATCATAAGGTTTCGGAAAATCTTTCGTTTAGTAGCTTTCAAGAAATCTGGGATGTGGGGCCTTTACTATCAAGCTATCAACTACGATTTCTGCTACGACAATTGCAGCCATGTCGGACTACTTCGAGGAACTGGGACATGAACCCACTGGACCGGAGGGAGCTAATGATTTGGCCAGAAACTTCCGACGTCTCCAGGTGCTGGCCATCATGAATGGCATCGACATGGAGATCGAGGTGCCGGAGGCCTCCAAGCGCGCGATAGCAGAGCTTCCGGTCCATGAAATTCTCGCATCGGAAGTGGGCGGAGATTTGGAGTGCTCCGTTTGCAAGGAACCTGCTCAGGAGGGAGAGAAGTACAAGATCCTTCCTTGTAAGCACGAGTTCCACGAGGAGTGCATCTTGCTTTGGCTTAAGAAGGTAATGCTATGGAAAAATAAAGAATATAAGTAAAAACAAGGAAGAACGCTATAGTCGAGTACCTCGACTATCAGATACCCGTTACTCAAAGGGAAATGGAGATATGCAAGCAGCAAAGCGAGATTAAAATGCGCCACCTACCTGCGGTAGACAGATTTAAGCGTTATGGGCTTTAGAGTGGGCGTGGCAAATTTATTTTTGGATCAATCGATAGGTATTGACGACACCAATACATTTCAGTTAAAATTTTTTATCTAGCATGCAAATTGTGGGCGTCACAGGTTTTCGCGGTTTGTAGGCGTTTAAGTGGGCGTGGCAAACTTTTTTTTAGGTCAATCGATAGGTATTGATGAGAACAATACATTTCAGTTAAAATCAGTTTCTATCTAGCATAAAAACTGTAGGAGTTACAGTTTCGGGCGGTTTGTGGGCGTTAAAGTGCGCGTGGCAGTCTACTGAAACAAACTTGCGCTGCGTAAGAAGCTCAGGAATCTTTACGCCAAATCTCAATAGCCTAACCCTCATAGTTTCCGAGATCTCTGCGTTCATCCGCACAGACGGACATGGCTAGATCGACTCGGCTAGTGATCCTGATCAAGAGTATATATACTTTATGGGGTCGGAAATGCTTCCTTCTGCCTGTTACATACTTTCCGACGAATCTAGTATACCCTTTTACTCTACGAGTAACGGGTATAATAAAAAAGTATCACAATCTAAAACCTATCCCTTATCTTCTCCTACCCAGACCAATTCCTGTCCCCTCTGCCGATATGAGTTGGAAACAGATGATCCGGTGTACGAGGAGCTTCGAAGGTTTAAGCAGGATGAGGCTAACCGAAGGCAGCGCGAGAACACTATATTGGATTCCATGTTCGGATAATTCGGTGTTTTGGTTGAAGGATTTATAAAAATCATTTTTGTAAAACGGTATTGGTTCAAATTTTCAGTTTATGATGGAATAAAGGCGTTTTTGGGGAAATGTAATATTGAATGGGCAAAAGGTTATCTATTTATTTATTTGATGAAAGTAAGTATCTATGCATTATCATTTATCTAAGCTTAAAGCATTCCTATTTAGATCTTTTCCCATTCTTTCAAGATGTGTCTTTGAAAATATCGTAACATCGATTGCTCCCTGATCTAGTCTATCGATATTAACATCGATGATTTACCACCTCCATCTCTTTCTCTTCTCATTCGCCGGCGTGCTTGCCTAAAAGTTTCGCGTTTGAAAACTGGGTTTCTTAAAAAAATTCCTCAAATAAACAAATAAAATATACAAAAATATAGTGTTTGATGTCGATTTGTGTTATCTTTCAATCAAAATGATTGCCGACGACAGTGGTGTAAAGCATTTTGATCGCAAGTTTGTGGCGTCCAACCTGCAGAATCTTCTACGCTGCCCAAAATGCTCGAAATGTTATACTTACTCATATAATAAAAATGAAGGAGATGGTAAGATAAATAGTTTAATGATAAACGAAGGAAATCATGAACTTTACATTGGCTTCACAGTTTTTAAACATTTGAGACTTCTTGGGCGCAATTTTTTGTATATTGTGTGTGTTTGTGAATGAAGCGTCTGTGAACAGTGTTGCCAGCTTGAAATCTGGACAAAAGTGTTCAAGAAAAATCCAATGAGAACCAAAGAATTAAATGCTTAGTTCTTATTGGAACTAAATAAAATAATTGTGTGTCATACTAAGTCTTTAAATAAATGATATTTAAGCAGAGCTTCTTAGCATTTGATATAATATCAAGATTTCCAAAAGCGAAAAATGCCGAATTGTCATCTCTACTCCGTTATAAAGGGTTTCAAGTTACTCCATGCATTTCTCAGTTCTCTTTGGTGTGGTTTTTCTAAACATTAAACATTGTAAAAAAAACTTTGAAAAATGCTATCGAAGGGGAAAAACGATATTTTCATTTTTCCTTGCCATACAAAACACTTCTTTGTAACACTTTACATATTAATTATATTTTTAAAAACAAAAAATAACAAAAGTTACAGAAATTTGTTGAAAAATTTTAATATTTAAAATAAATATATTTAAATACATATTTTACCCTATTTCACCAGAGAGTTATCGTCCCTTTCTGCTGCCTTGTGGCCATAATCTCTGCGAGAGCTGCGTGTGGAGCAATCACCAGGATCTTAAGTGCGCCGTGTGCCAGACACCGGCTTCCCCAACGATCAAGTCCAAGGATCCGGCAAAGAAATCCTCTGCCAATGTGCGGGACTACTACGAACTAAACTACCATGTGCTGGGGGAAACCAGCAGCCTTAGTTATTTCCGCCGATTCGCCTCGGAAACGACTAATAAATCCCTGACCCTCAGCTCCATCAGCGAAGAGGTTGTCCAGGCCATCAAATGCAGCGAATGTGGCAATGCGATAGCCAACGGGGAGTGCAGGCAGTGCAATGCATCCTATTGCCGACGTTGTTTCGAGGCGGTCCACAACCACAGTCGCGTCCTGAAGTCGCACGTCTTTCAAATCACACAGGAGTCCCAATCCCGAAAGGGATTACGGGTGGGCAACCAGTTCTTCACACTGCCCACCAAGAATGAATGCCATCAGCACCGCATGCTGAAAAACATGTACTGCCTAAACTGCAAGCGGACCAACTGCCCGGCTTGCATCTCCATTCTTCATCGCGGGCACCGCACTAAATCGCTCTTGGATGTGGTTAGTAAAATAAGAAATATAGTATTAGTATTTCACACCAATCTGGCCATCCGTTGGTAACTCTGTCTGTATGAACTAATTGATTTTATCATACAATAATGAATATTATCATTATTAGCCATAAATGCGTCTAATGAAATTACTAAATATATAAACTTACCGAGGTCGTTTACATCGACTAAATCATATTATTTTATCCCAACTAAATGAATTTGATGTTCCCTATAGAATCAACGTTATGCTTCTGAGATACCGACGTCTTTGAATTCATTGAATTCCGCTCTACTTAACATCCAAAATGGCCAGGAGGTAAGTGAAACGAAATTTTTTACTTACTAGTCAGATTTTATTTCACTATAGCTATAGGTATGTATACAGTTGCATTTACAGCTAGCTATTTACAGTACTTGCTCGCTAAGAATAATTTAGGGATTATACAACCAACTCGCAGGCGAATTTCTCATTACAAATATGGCAAGCTCTTCATAAATTCATCAGAATGCTCATTTGCTACTATGCTTGATGGGCATCAGTTGTCCGGTGTTTCCATCGGTTTTGATCTCAATTACTTCCAGCTTTTCTACGCTTACTTTTGTGGTTTCCCGACTCTGTTTCTCAGCTTCCTTTGTTTCCCTTAGGCTCTGTAGTTTATCCTCCTCTTCGCTGCTTTCTGGAGCCGTTGGTTCTGCTTCGAAATCAATCTCCTGATGCGGTTGTGGAGTGGAGGAAACTACGATGGGTTTGAGAACATAGGATTGTGTGTCCTGGGTGCTTGTAGGTGCCATTATAGTTGTGGGTGCTGTTTGATCGTACGTATCATAGGTCCCTCTTTCTGATATATCATCTATTTCATCGTCGATCAGCAGATTTCTCTCGGAGCTTTGCTCATAAACCTGGGCATTGATTCCACTACCATGTTTGGGTTCTGGTTTATGATTTTTAGGCAGCGCAGGTGTGGATGGCGCTTCAACAGGTTTCTCAGCCTGCTGAGTGGCTTTGCGTTGCTTCTCCTGACGCATCTTTTCCTCCATTTCCTGGAACTTCATGGCCAGGTACCTTTAATAAATCACAAATTAATAAATGTTAACTTTTTTAATTAATTTTCTTACTTATCCACAATGGGTCCATTGTAATCCTCTGGAAACTTGGGATTGAAGGGAAGTATGTACTTGTAAAGTCGCTCGTTTAGTACATAAAGTTGCGCGGTCGTCGAACATTTCACATTGAACCACCAGTCGCAGGTCAAGGCAATCTTTAATATATATAATTTTTTACATCGAGAGCGTTATAAAATGTGATTTTCTTTAGTTTACCTGACTGAATATGGTTCCATTGGGACAAAGAAAAGATGCCTTTCCGCCGTTGAGATCGCAATAGTGCCAAACTTGGCAGTTTGTCTCCGGATCCCCGAAGAATCCCTTGTATCGTTGCTTGGTGCACTCAAAACTTGTTTGAGGTATCTCCGCATAGTTGGGATAATCGATGCCAGGTCTTCCTGTACTTGGTCCCGGATGTTTATCTAAAAGAAATTGATATCTTGTTGATGAATCTTATTTAATGTAAAGCTACTTACTTGGTCCCTTGGCCTTGGAAACCGCCTCATTGTCCTCTTCGGGTTGGGAATGGTGCTCCTCCTCGCTACCAGTATTATAATCGTAGTCCTGGGAACTGGGCTTGTGCTCCTCGTGATGCTGCGGAGGATTGGCCACAATGGTTTGGGTTTGCTTTAGGTTCTGGAGTATGCGAATCAATGTTTTGATGGAGTTGTCGATATTATCGGGTGTTAGAGTTTGTGGCAGATGATTGCTGGCTTGAAGCTTATGAAGAATTTCGGCCAGCGATGAGGTGCGGATATCGGGTAGCTGATCCTCATCCTCTGGTCTAAATGCCGGCGTTAATGGAGGTCGCTCATGGGCGTATTTGAAAACGGGTTTTAGTTTAATGGGTGTTACCGGTAGAGGGTTCCCTATGCGGTAACTCTGGATGCTGGGCACTGGGTGGTTTTCCGGAAACATAAACATATTTCGGCGTAATCTCTACCGTGTGACCTGAAGTGGGCTGCCTTGATGGCGAGGGCGTGGTCACATAAATGGGACGCCTGGTGGCCTTGTAATTATGCACTGGCTGCAAACGCAGTGTGGGCTGTTGGTTATAGAGAATCGGAGGACGCAATGTGGAAATTTCAGGATGCATTTGTGGCGCCGGCTGATGCTCGATATGTGGAGCTGTTGTGGTCACCAGGATGTACGCATGCTGCGGTGGCTGATGGGGCGAGGGTCGCTCATGCTGGGAATGCTGCTGCTGCTGCTCCTCATCCAACGATTGCCTAGGTCCATCTATCAGATAGTCAATGAACTGCGGCGGTGCTGGGGAACTAAAAAGATTATGATATTTTAATGTGAATCTTATGAGGGGCTTTTATGTGGCACTTCATTACGTTTTAATGGCAACAACTGCACATATTTGAATGCGGTTTATGGTTATTGAATGAGAAATGTAATCTTGCTTAATTTGTTTATCAACTGTTGTTTATGTTTTCTTGAATACCCCCTAGTATACCATTTATGATTTGTCTTAATTAACTTTTTCTCCTACTCAGTTAAAAAAATTATTCCGATTGGTCCCTTCATCTTTCCATCTTTTTTGACCTAATGATTTTTAAGGGTCTACCCAAATCAAAATAGTGCCAACAACTAATTGGCTTTAAATTCAAAATAGTAGGTTTAAGAATTTTAAAATAAGTTAGTTAATCATAAATATTTATAGAGAAATATTTTAATTTATTCTAAACCTGTTGTATTTAAAGCAAATAGCATCGAGGAAAGGGGAATCCCATGGGAACATACGGTATCACAACAAACAGTAATAGTTCTTAGTGCGTCGGACCCAGTCCCATTCTATCCTAAACTATTCTATTTAATTAATTTAATATTCAAACAAATTACGATGCCCGCGGGGTTACTTTTTATAAATTATAATAACAATAATAATAATAATCAATCATTGCATATACTCTCCCCAAGTGGATAACTTACCCGAGTGGCTCATCCTTGGCAAACTCGAGTCGCGGCGGCTGTGCCTGCGACTCGGACTGAAATTGCGACTGGGAATGCGACTGCTCTTGGACGTGGGCCATGAGGGCGCGCAGCGGGATGTGCAGCACCTGTTGGCCAGCAGTCGCATCCGGTCTTACGTAGAGGGCATCGTACTTGTTCGGGTGATGGGTCTTGGTCTGGGGATGATGGGGATGCAGATGGGTGTGTTGTTGTGGCTGGTGGCTGCCGGGCAGTGTATTGCTTTGTGCCGGCACCACCGGATGTGAAAAGTCGTAATGCTGCTGCTGCTGCAGATGCTGATGTTGCTGATGTTTTTGCTGTTTCATGCGCTGTTGTAAGTAAAGCACATATTTCTCCTGCGGCGTCATATGCGGATGCTGCTGATGAGGATGCGGATGATGGCCGCCAACACTGGTCGTGGGCGGGGCCATGTTGAAGTAGCTTTCGTACTTACTTACATGACCGAATGTCGGCGATTTTTGATGTATTATCAATGCGTTTTTAGTGGATGTGGTGGCGGGAGCTGCTGCGCTCGAATCGGCCACCGAGACGGAAGCGTAGCCAATGCTGTGGGAGGAGGGTCATCATGCAAAGCGGTTAGGGTTTCGGTTCTAAGCAAAAATGTCATGAGGATACTGAGCATCGATTTCAATTTATTGCGAAATTTTTGAGATTTTACATGTTTTTGTATGCGAACGAAAAAGGTTTTAACTTTTATAAGAAAGTTCTGATGTTATAAACCAAAATGGCAATATTTGTTTTTAACTTTAAAGTCCTTTAATTGGACAGAAACACATATTTCTAAAGCCAAAAAGAAAACATGTGACTGCATAATGTGCATTGTTTTTAGAATCAAGGATTAATATCGTTTCAAAATTCCTAAAAATTATTCTTAACATTCAGAAATCAGGTTTGAATTAAAACCAGCGTTAAATAGTATTTTCTTTAATAAATTAAATTCAAAAGCAAGTGTTAGCGTATGGCACGGTGGTTGTAAAAATCTCCGCTGATTGGCTTGTTTTTCCATTTCCCATCCCTCATATTATAAACGATATTGTACGACAGATTTTTGACCTGAGCCCGCTGGCTATTTATGACATGAATTTGCAATTTGACAATTACTACAAGAGCATGTGGAGAGGTACACGAGACACTGGCCAGGTCGATTCTCAGCCCACGTTTGCCCATTGGCAGTGCCTCCTGCCGAACATCGAACATTGAACGGCAATTGGAGACGCAATCTCGTTGTCGTCATGGATCTTACGTCACCACTGCAGTGGCAGAGATGCCGACGAAGTGGAAGACCGGATTCGGAGTTGGAGTTGGAGAAGAGCGGACGGAGTCGGAGATTGGAATGGATTGGGTCCGGTGCATTAAATGCAATTGATTTTTCTGCCCAAGGCCAATTGCATGCAACAGTATCCGTCTCAGACGACGGAATCCCATATTCAGTTCAATATATGCAGTTTAAACCGATATATTTTAAAGTTTCCGTTGCGTTTTGCATGGATAAATGTTCGGGTTTTAAATTGGAGCAAATAAATGGGCTTTGTTTTGTTAATTGGTCGTAGTAGCTGAACCACATCTACTAGATTTCTACATTAGGATATTTAAAAATTCGTGGGGTGCTCTGTTTTTTGGATTTAATTTAATTTTATGATCCATCCAAAAATCTTTTTTAAAGGCCTGGTAAGATTTTTTGAAGGTTTGCCAAATGAAAGGTATTAAATGCTGTAAAGGGTATGGTGGGATAATTGTTTCGGTGGCTCAAGTAATGTTTTTTCCAAGTTACCGATGACATGAATCTTTTTTAGAGGCAGCTACAGTAGCAACATTTTTAATTTGTATTCTACATGCGATATTGCATTTGCGAGCGGAACACCTCACGATATATAAGTGGGCGTGATGTGAGAACTGCTAATCAAGCGAATGATTTGGGTATGCCATGAGATCAGAGCTTGACTTACTTTTGAGCTTTCAATACAGAGCGTTTGTTTGGTTAAAAGACTCACATGTGACAGCCAATCTTACCTTGGATTGTTTTGTACTTGCTGGTGCTGTTGCTCCTCCTCCTCTTCGGCTCCATGATCCTCCTGCTGCTGCTCCACCTTCTCTTCTGTTCCCAACTCCTCATCAGATGATGATGATGAAGGCTGCTCCGCTGAGGCAACAGCTCCGGCTGCATAATCCGTAACGATTTGTGTTTGATGGGAATTTTTATAGACAATTTCTGGCTGCTTCAGGTTGTAATTGATGGTATTGGTGGAGCCCGGCTTGCTGCCGCTGCTCACTGGCGTATAAATAATGGGTATAAACTGTCCCGGCAATGTGTTCTGCGCTGTAAATGGCGTTAAATTGATTTTTGATTGTTTGCCTCGCTGGCGCTGCGACTGGGATGATGCCACCAATCCCGGTGATAGTATCTCATATTGTTGTGGTTGTTGTTGTTGCTGTTGCTGCTGGTGGTGCAGGAGGAGGTGGTGTTGCTGCTGAAGATGCTGTGGATGCTGCAGTTGCTCCTTAGGTGACGGCGGCAGCGGCGGAAAATGCTGCACCGTCTTGTGCTGCGTGCGTGTAAATTATGAATTACGTGATTATTTATGCTTATTTATGACCCATGAAATCAATTGTAATGAAGAAGGATGGATGAAGATCCAAGTGCATTTTGAATACCCTCGAAGATGGATTTATGGGTTATGAAATCTTGTAAGGCAGAGATATATTTGAAATGATAAATTAATTCGTTTTCCCTTGGTTTAATTGTGGTTTTCTATCTTATTACGATTGGTAGTTATTTATTTTTACAAAATTATTAAAAACAAAGAACAAAGTTAATATTTTTCTAAAAATGTTTCCCTTTAAAATGATTTCTATTTAAAAATGTATCGTTTTATAACTAAGGAAATGGTCGAAATTACAGCATCTTAGTTTCTAATTTTTTATAAAAATATTTAAAACCTATTGTTTCTACACAATTTAGTTTCTATTTTTTGATGTCAAATGACTCCCCAAGACGATATACCCCTATTAAGGGTACTCCTATTCAAATACTTGCCTTGTGCGTCGGGTTCAATGTCTTATAGGCAATAAAAGTGGCACCCGAATCAGTTATTGCCGTCTGCTCCTTGACATGACCAGGTGGTGGATGTGGGGGTGCATGGGGATGCTGATGCTGGTTGCCCCCGATGGCCAGGGAATGGTACACCTCGCCTGCTCCCGACTGATAGTGCGGCAGTGGTGGCGGATGAGGGGGTCCCTGGTGATGGTGAGGATGGTGCTTGTGCTGCGGCATGTAGGCCACCGGCACTGGTATCCTTCCTGGTCCTGGTAGAGGTGCCTGCAGCTGTGCCCCGCCAGCCGATGACGAGTGCTTCGTTGCATACTGCTGATTGATGGGCAACTCGGGAGCGGGCAGATAGAAGGCCATATAGGGTATCAGTCGTCGAGTCCGCTCCGAGGCACTCAGATCAGAGTCGCCGATGCCACTGTTGTTATGGCTGCCACGGAGATTTCCATTGATTTGAGGGGTTTCAGGAACTGAGCCAGTGGCTTGAAGAAAGGGAAACAGGCTGGCAACTGTAATAGAGAAATTTTGGGTTTTAGTTATGTTAGTTCTTAAAAATTAAAGATTCTACTTTAATTTATTAACTGTTTACTTTTGTATTTGATAATGGAACTTAAGTTTATATACGTGTTGGATTACTTTATGAGTTTTTTATACAAAAGGAAAAAAAGGTGCAGGCAGTAAAAAAAGATTTGTTTATTTTTCTTTAGATAGCTGCTTTGCTTGAATTTCAGAAGCTTTGCTAATATACACTCATAAAAGGCAGACTCTTTTCTTTAAACATCTGAAAGTCCAGATCCCAGAGTAAATTTGCTTTTATTCTAGTAACCGTTTTATTTTTTTCAATGATTTTGATCACCCCTGAAATGTTGGATATTTCTTTATTAAATATTACAACCCCCAGTAGCCTGTGCTTGTTCGGTCAAAGTAAATTTTGACACGTATCTAAGCTACACTCTTTTTATATTTCTTTCACTCTTCATAAGGTTTGTAGGCTTTGTCAAAATTTCTGGACTTGAATTTAGAAACTTAAATACACAAAGTGGCAATAAATTATAGTTTGTGAAATCAACCAACTTAAGGGTAAGTATCTCCGCAATCTAAAATAAAACCTTTTAGTAAAGCCAATACACCAAAACGCCTAGTTGGAAAAACTTGAAAAATTACACTACACGCACGCCGGGGACTCCATAGCCATGTCCAAATATACCTCCAGCTCTGGGAGTCGCCAGTTGAGTACTCGCAGCTCGGACGTGGATGCATTGGCTCAGCGGGGCTACAATGTGGGTCACAAGATCGGCGAGGGATCCTATGCCACGGTTATAACAGCCGGCTATGCCGATGACACCGGGCACGGAGTCCATTTGGCTTGCAAGATCATCGACAAGGCCAAGGCGCCCACCGACTTCGTCAATAAGTTCTTTCCGCGCGAGCTGGAGATCCTCACCAAGATTGATCATACCAACATCATTCAGATCCATAGCATCCTGCAGCGTGGTCCGAAGATCTTCATCTTTATGCGCTATGCGGAGAATGGAGATTTGCTGTCGCACATCAAGAAGTCGGGCCCCATCGAAGAGAAGCAATCGAAGATCTGGTTCTTACAGATGTCCAAGGCATTGAAGTACCTGCACAATCTGGACATTGCCCATCGGGATCTCAAGTGCGAGAATATTCTGCTCTCCAAGAGGCTCAACATCAAGCTGGCCGACTTTGGATTTGCTCGCTATTGTCGCGACGATAGTGGCCGGGAGATGAAATCGGAGACGTATTGCGGATCGGCAGCCTATGCCGCACCTGAGGTCGTTTGCGGAAGACCCTATGACCCGAAACTGGCGGATGCCTGGTCCCTGGGTGTCATTCTATTCATCATGATGAATGCCAAGATGCCGTTCGATGACAGCAACTTGACCAAATTGCTGGAGGATCAGCGCAATCGCAAGTTTGCCTTCCGCCGGAAGCTGCAGGAATCGATCTCGGCCCAGGCCAAGGCCACTGTTTCGGTGCTTTTGGAGCCGGAGGCCCATGCTCGCTGGAACCTGCGCGAGGTTCTCAACTGCGCCTGGCTGCGATCCGCCGAGGATTCGCAGCCCTCCACTCCCTAAAATGTAATGGTCTGAAGACTGTATTTCTAAGTGGTTCCGTTGTTGCCAACGTTATTGAGCCACAGGAACCACCGATCATCGGCAGTCTAAACCTCACCTCAGCGGGCGTTGATTTCACAGATAGGTGTAAATTACAATGGTATCACAGAAATTCACTGGTATTTTCTAGATAGAGATATCCATCACTATCTGGAACGCATATCCCATATTTTTATTTTGTATGGTATTAATAAAAACCAAATGGCAAACTGTTTTGGATATAATTGCTTTAAATTAACTAAATGATTTAATTAAATTGAGCAAGATGTTTTAAAAATATTTTAATTGATCCCTAGCGATCTAGTTTATTCATTGTCACTCTTCATAAAAATAAATTTCTTATAGGCATACAATGTATTAAATCCATTCGATATTGTGCAATCGATGCAAACCTTACAATTAAGCGACTTGGCTGCAGCAGAAACACAGACCCAACGAAGCCTAACCACAGAAACGAAGCGGGGCTGTCATAACCGTAAAAGAAAAACTATTATAAAATAGCATTAGGTAAATTTTCAAACAAATTTTTCTTGCATCTTTCCCCACTGCATATGGGCAACAGCAGTTTGTTTATCGTGTGCATTGTTGGCCACACTCTCCGCTTCTGTTGGCCGTGTTTAGTGAGCCGTGGCAGTCGGTAGAGGCACAAAAAGCCCCGATGAGAGGAGACCCACAGCCCCAGATGACAGTAAAAAGAAAGACGCCAGTGATGCGCCGCTGATTATTAGATAGGGCAATGGATAAGACTCGAAAACTTTCGAGTTGGTCCAACTGGACCAAATCAATAGTAATCTAACATCTCGGGAGGTAAAAGAAAGTACAAACTTGAAACAATTATTTTTATTATATAACGTATAAGCCGCATTTAAAATTTATCATATTTAATCAATTTTCAATCTACATTCAACTAGTTCAAAAATAATACATTTAAGTATTTAGTTAAAGTGGTTGTTTTATGGTTTTTGCCTTTTAAAGTGTGTTTTTTATGTCTTCGGTACTAAATCACAAAACGAGTAGGTTTAAAGATTATTTGAATAGCTAATGAATAGCTTTTAGCAAGTTAAATAAGGTAACTTCATTTAGCCAAATAAGTTATAATATGTGTGATAATAAATTCTGTAGACATATCTAAAATAATTATTTTGCAGTAGATCCCAAAATTAGTCAAGATCAACCATGAATTCGTGTCAGATTAATTATGTCAAGGAATTGTTTTTAGAAAGGACTAGCAGGCTGTCTAAGGCCATCAAAATGTGTTATAATTTGGGGGAATTAATTTTGGGTTAGTCTTGTTTAAGCCGTGCCATGTGACCAATCACTGTGGAACATAAGTAATTGTGTGATTTGCTCGTTTCGCCATTCCCGGCCTGTTTGAATTGGATTGGTTTGGCTTGGCCTGGCCTGGCCTGGCCTAGCCTCGCATATTCGTGTCCTGTGCGGCATGTGTTGCAAGTTGCCATGCCGACCAGCAATCTGCAGACTTTGGGAGTCGAACCCCACGACAGTCGCACAATAAGTGTCCGAAAGTTCGAGCCAAATCAGAGCTGTGGGGCAGATAATTTGCATTGGAGAGCGGGCCGGGCTTAAGTGGCAACTTAGATGCAAGAAAGGTCTTGTTGTTGCATGTGTGACACCAGAAATGGGGAGCAGAGTGTGTACACACTGTACAGTGTTGCCACCCACAGCAGTGATGGGAATTATCTAGGGTTTTGTTTTAAATGGATAGCCTAAAATGTAGGTTTTACTTTATATAATCGTATATATTTTTATGGTCACATCCGAGAAATTATACATAGTTATGAAAATCGGTATGAGAAGAATTGTAATTATTATAAAATTTAATATTAAATTGTTTCCTACTATTATTTAACAAAACTTGTTCCTTTTCCATCCCTAGTTTAACCAAAAATGTCCATTGTTTTTTGATCTTTCAGTGTGTCATAGCCTGGTTCGCTTGCCAGTTTGTTGTTTTCTTTATTGTCTAAAAGAGTTTTCATTTTACGACTCTTTTTCATGTGTTGGCCAGGTAGAGTCTCCACTCCGCACACCTGTGCGTATGCGTAATGCAATTTTGCATTAATTAATATAAGTTGTCTGTGTGCTTGCATCCCGCCTGCGGGGCACTAAAATGTTTTGCGATGGCTCATCTGCCATCTGGCTGTGGCCAATTTCCAGCCAGGAGTCGCTCCCAAGTGGCTCGTATGGAATTAATTTTGGGGCAACGTGTCAGATTTATGCTGTTGTCCCCGGCAGTTGTCTTTGTCCCTCCTCTACGATGCTTGGGCTTATTAGATCTGCCTTCAAACTTCCTGTTGCTGTGGTATAAATCCTTTGAAAAATGTTGTATTTGACTCTAGCATATTGCTAATAATTTTCTTGGATTCGGCTTTGGGATTTGCGTTGGAATCAAGTCACAAATGGAATTGCCAATCACACACTGAGGAGAAGACTTGGTCTAAATTTAAAATTAATTGTCGATTCAGTATGGTTTATTTTCTGGAACCTACTTTTTAACAATGGATCGAAAGTTGTTCATGATGTCTTCGACTGCACACTTACACTTAATTTAATTATTACTTTGGAAAGACGAATTTAAACTTGAAAATATTTTTAACTTCATTTTGTAATCCATATTTTCTCATATTCTATATTTTTAATAATGAAAGACTTTGAGTACATACTCTTAACACTAAGTAATATTTCTCAAGCGGAGGCTTTCGTGTGTTCATATAATTAAAGACCGACTCTAAGTTATATGACTGCTTTTTATGCTTGCCCGACAGTCTACAATCGAACTCTTTTTTGTTTCTCTGAAAATTACTCAATGCAAAAAAGTTTCCCAGGCCGGCTAATATAATTGTTTTGTTTCTTCAATGGCTTTTTTAGCCGTCAAAAAAATCACGCAATGTGAGCCAAAGTAGAAGGAGGAAGTGCCTATCCTAAATAAACTTGTCATGGCCAATGGCACACCCTCAATGCTTTTTCAATTACAAAATAAATATAGGGGAGTGCGACGGTAGAATGTTGAAAATGCAATTAGGCAGCCGCGAAAACAAATAAACGCCAGGCAACAAAAGTTTGAGAATGATTTCTGATGGAAGGAGAAGAATGGTCAGGAGATTTCCCACCGAGCGACCCCTCAGGGGATTCGAATTGTTATCGTTGTCATTTGCGGATGCCACTCTACCGAAATTCGCACATTTGAACCCGTGGGTTTTTAGCTGTTTTGCCCAGTTGTCAGTTGGTTTATGGCCAAAACACATTAAGCGAACCGCATAAAAACATTTTAGCCGCAGTCACAGTCGCTGTTTTTGGACACCCCTCACCCACTGAAATTCTAGTTCAATTCGAGAGAAGCGCTCCAAAAATGTTTGTGGCTAAAATCAGAGAGACGGTGTATACCAGATACAGATACGGATACCGATACTGATCAGGCCATATTTGCCAAGCACTTTTGCATGTATTTTGCATAAAATTTGCAAATGATTTGTTGAGCGCTTCTTATTTTGTGCAATTTTGATGCGATTTCTGGTGGGTGAGAGATAATGGTGGGGATACAGGTGATACAGGAGGACCAGACATGGAGTACTCACCTGTGTTTGGGTTAATTCACTCGCCCCGGAGCCAAACATTTCACGCTTTTTTGACATTTCTGGCGCATAATTTGATTAGATTTCGATACGACAAGCGAATTGTTTTGGTCACTCGGTTTTTGGAGGAAGTTTGAGGAAGAGGGGAACGTTTTTGGAGTGCTGTTCTATCCTCTGTCCGCTGGGGGATTGTTTTCTAATTTGATTTGATTTGATTTCGGCCAGTGTTTTGTGGCCGACCCCCCGGAATGTGCGTCGCTCAAATGCAATTAAATGCAAATTTATTGCGTAAATATTTACTTGAGCGTGAATGAATTTTAATTTTGTCATCGGCTCGACGACCATTTCCATTTACCGTTTGGCCACCCATTTCTAATTTTTCGCCGGTTGTTTTGAAATGCTTGTGGCCATCGCATCATCAACATCATCATCATCATCAGCTGCCTGAGGTTAGCGAATTGTGCACGACGCTAACTGATTTGGCTGATTTGGATTTGAGTTTGGATTTGGGTTCGGATCCCCTTGGTCCGATTATTGTGCCACTAGCGGCCCGCGACTCCAAATTATAATGGCCGAAAACGATACCACCAGCGCCTTTGGCCATTTATGGTCCAAATTGTAAAGTCGCCCATGTAAGCCATAAACTTAGGCCATAAACCCCACATCTGTAAAGCGGGCATTACACGAGCCACGGGTCCAAGAAGTCAAGCTCAAATTGCTGGCTGTCTGGCTGTCCGGGGGAAGAAAAAGGCACACGGCCTCCGATTTGCCTTCACTTACATTTTTGGCCAGAAGACAAATTATAGAGGCCGTAAAATGCAATAAGCCAATCACATAGTTTCGGGTGGTCCAAATATTAGCCAAGTAAAGTGCGAACGCAATTGCTACTTCTGTTTTTTATGTGACTAGGCGATCTTGAACGATCTCCCTCCCATTGGTAAATAGTAAAATTATTTTATCTACCTAAGAAATTTGATGGAGTGTAGTAGGAAGTAAAACAATGACTGTGGTTAGATTAGTTAGATTTTATTAAGTAAAAATATTATTTTAGTCTAACAAAAAAAAACTCTTTATATTAACTACATTAATCGAAGAAAGAATCCTGGGATTTGTTGTAAAATAGTTTCTTTACATTTTTTTCTCCCATATCTAATCGATTAAAAAACCTCATTTATTTTGGTTCACACTAATTGGAACTAAGTGAAATGTTAACTTTGTTCTAGCCACACCAATCGTGGGTAATTCGGCATTTGCAGCCGTTCACACCCCGAATTAAGTCTCACAAACTGCCCACAATGGCTAATGTCTTTAGTATTATTTATAACCAATTGTTTCTTTTTATGCACGACCTTTAATCGGTATTCCGGTAAATACGCTGAGAACTTGTCTAATCCATATATCAAATGCAACGGCACCGATCGAATTAACTTTCAGTTAGAACAAACATCCGCTTGGGGCGAAGCTGTATCTTGATCAGCTTACTTTGCCTTACAAATTTGTTTTAAATAATACAGAAATTTAGACTTTTTTGTTGAGTTTATATTGTTATTTGCCACGTTTTCCGCTCGTCGGTGACGACAATTGCGACAGAAACAGAAAAGTGAATGGGTTTTCCTTCCA